CTCACCCAGCAAAAAAAGGATTTGGCGATCCCCCTTCCGCTCGCGGGCCGGGGCGGGCGGGCGCGGCGCGCCCTGGGTCCGCGTGCCGGCCTTTACTTTGTTGCCCTAAATTGTCTTTCAGATCGGTTGTATTTTGCTACTTTACGAAATAAACCCAAAAGTACAGTAAACACGCACTACTTCTCTACTGATGAGGAGCTGGTCTATGAAAAGTAAGTGTTTTGATCTTTAGCCGTTTGTATGTTCAAAATGATCACCTGAGATTCTTTGCAGCACTCTTGGTTATTATATAGAATAACTTTCCTTCATTTAGCTAGGTGTACACAGCACCAGCACCAATATAAAGCTAGCCGGAAGATAGTTATAACTTAGTTGAAACTAGTTTAACAGAATTACTATTAGAAAAAAAAACAAGACAAGACCAGTTAAATAACTTTAGGGGTAGTTGAACTAGGGGTAGGATATCTGAGCTTTGCAGGATTTGTTTGTCAAGTAGGAAACATCTCTTAAGACTACTTACATCTTATTAAGTAGTGTTTCAAATAGAAGATTTTTTTGAAATAAAACAATAACTTTATACTTATGCAGAAAAACTCACTGAAAAAGTAACCACCTTTCATATACTCCTTAGGGTTCTGTAAAGCTTAGATTTGCTTTCAAAAAACATCTGTAGCTTGCTTTTTCAAGTGTTCAGAAGATTTTGAGAGAGCTTTTCCTATTGGCCTTTGTAGCTTTAGAACAGCAGAAAAAGTATTAGCTGTGAAGTAAAAGCTTCACGTGTTTAGAACACACTAGCAGCACATAAAAGGTTAACAGTTAAGTTGAACGTAGTTTGAATAGTACTAAGGGACACAAAGCAAATGCACTTAAAGGGTAAAATAATTGCCATATTTGATTAAGTAAAAATTTAAAGATGCAACATCTAAATATTTCTGTAGCAGATGAAAGTTGAAAGCATATTTACCTATTTTAAGTTGTCTTGTTTCAGTATCTTAATTAGATCACTCTTATACTGTTATCAGATAATCTCTTTTTTATTTACATGATCTGAACTTCAAACCAAAAGATTTAAACACAAAATTACTTGCAGTAAAATGAGGTTATAAACTTTAGGCCGTGGGTTGTAAAATAGCATTAAATAGCTAAAGGATCAGCCTTGCACAGCTTTCCTTGCTTCAACTTAAGGCTTTGATGGACAGGATCTTGTTTTTAGCAGAGGAAAATTGACAGTTTTGTGCTATCTTGGCAGGAATAGCAAAACTCAACAAATATCCAGTCCTCACTTGTTGCAGTTCATAGTCTGACATATTACTTTAAACTGGCAGAGAGGCTGATACTTGGATGAGACAGGAGCCATGTTTACAGCTAATGTGGGAGTGTTCAGCATTTGGGCTGTTTAAAGCCTTCCAGCACTGCTTATCCAACTCACAGCTCTATTTCCTGTAAACGCTTGAGTTGCCCTGTCAAGAAAAGGACAGGTTTGGACAGCCTGCAAGCATTTTTCTGATGCTGGTGAGCAGTCCTGGTAAATAAGATCCTTTCAGGAACATGTTGGGATTTCTGAGAAGTGTCAGGTCTATTTCATGTGAGGGGTTTAGCTGATCTGCATGTAGTGGCTCTACACTGTGTTGCTAGATTGACTGATGGTAGATCTATGACAAAGTGTTTGCTGCAGCAAACTTCCTCCCTCACCCCACTT